TCTCCACATGGGATCCGAACCCTCAGCGGGAGTGCCGCCGCGCTCCCAAGCGGCACACTCTGCAGTGCACCACGGGCCGGCCCGATCATCGTGTTTTTAATGAATGATGTGAGGCAACTTTGAGATTACTACAAGTGTAAAAATAGAAAGTCTTTCAACTCCCCACCCAAGAGATCATGATCACAAAGAGAAGTCATGAGGACCTGCAGTAAGTACCCTGCAGGGTAGAAAACAGAACTGTCAAAATAGATGGTTGCGCACTGCTGAAAAAACACCAGGAGAGTGACTTAAATCTTTTGTTAGTCACTGCTAAAAATATGCACACCTGCACAATGGCATGTTGAAATGTCATTTGACTCCTAAGGGTGATCACTTCCTGTTACTTCAGACTTTAAAAATAATTCAGCCCTGTGTATTTACAAGGTACCAAAGGACCCATAACTAAAAATAAAAGCAAAAAAAAAAAAAAAAAGGAAAAGAATGTGAAGCATGGTCCTATAACACAACAAGGAAATTAAGCTGACACCATCAATCTCACAGCTTTTGGGACACGGACTCTAATATTTGTTTTTTTTTTGTTTTGTTTTTTAAAGCCATGTATCAAAATAGCTGAGAAAAACAAGCCATGTAGCCCTGTGTCACCCACAGGATAACATGCCACGGGCTGGAGGAGACCAAACTGCAGACCTTGTACTGTAGTAATACGTAGGTAAACAAACAGTGGGTGGACAGCTGGGCAAAAGACATGGGCTAGAAAGAAAAAATACCAAATTACTCAGGGTTGCGTGAAGGAGACAAGCTGGACTCAAAACCAAACCACTCAAAGACAAAATGGACCCGTTTCTGAAAATATTAGATGGTTTCATGCAGTTAAAAATAAATAAGCAAAAAAGAATGAATGCTTGGAACCTGTTCAAATCTGTCAAAATTATCTAAAAAAAACCGAAATACAAAAACGAAAAAAAAACATGGCTAGAAGCAGTTGATTACAAATTTTACATTTCATCTAGTAAAAACTAGATGACTCACTTTTTCTTCATTACAGCTGACTTGGTGCTATGTCCATGCACAAGTGTATATTCATGGCCCCACTCCAAACACAACTTTAAATCATACCATACCTATTATATGTAATGGTTGACGACAGAGATACAATGTAGAATTGTAAGTTTAATAGCATAACCTTCCCAAGCCAGTAACTGTCAATACTGTGTCCAAAAGGCCACTGCAGTGTCCAGGAGACTACACCACATGACTCTGGAGAGCCCTACTTACATTAGTGACCCCTGGTAGTGCACAAGGAAGTGAACTTAGCTGCCTCCTTTCCACTGTACATGAACCATCATTTATGTTTTGTTCTTTTGCAATCTTAACCTGAATGCACAATACAGTCTACAAACTTTTTCTAACACACAATGCTTTAAAGGAAGAAAACAATTCAGCACTGCAGAAAAAATGAAGTAAATGGTATGCCACTTACAAGTGGAATTACTTTTCTAGCCTCTATCCACATAGCATAAGAGCCATACTGGGGTGTGCTGAATCTGGATGGCACAGGCACCTTGTCACTCAATAGAAAAAAAGAAGCTTCAATTCTTATACTACACATAAGGAGAGTAACCATATCTTTTGTCCATTGGGTAAACTCGTGACAGTGAAATAAGGAACCACTAATAAATCAATCAGGACAACAAGCAGAAATCAAGACTATCCTTGGTAAACCTAGATATGTGCTTCCCACATGCTTTATTTCTACCAAAATATATGGGAAGAGTTAAAGACACACTCATCTCTGATGTTGACCTCATACTGGCCTCCAGGGGAAAGAATGGGCTTATTTAAACTTCATTGCAGAAGGAAGCATTGGACTGTATCAATTCACCTAACATGGGACACGGGGCCCAGGTTAATGAAAGGACACTTCCTGAACTACTTTCAGTTCAAGCCAAGCCTCACAATGGCCTGAGGGTGCTGAGAAGCTTTAATTGTTAGCAGGATCCTCCCCCTTTTCTCGATCTCCTCCTTCTGCCCAAATGTATTACTAAAATTCATGTGTACTTCCAGAATTTACATTTATGTGTATTTATCTATATGGTGATATGTATTCCTTTACACAAAATTATTGTATATGTATAGTTTTGTACCTACTTTTTTTGCTTAACAGCACAACCTAAAATTGTTCTACTTTAAACAAATCATAGGTTTTCACTGCATTAGTTCTTCAAAATTTATGTCAGCCATCTATGTGTTTTCCAGATTTAGCTGTGATAAACATCTTTTATTGTGTATCTTGGTTAAATTTCACTCAAGTCTGTTAGCAAAAAAATAAAAATAAAACAAGAATTAAATAAAAGCTTCACTAGTAAGAACTATGGGTGAGAGGCACTGAGACACTGACACTAAATAAAGACCACCAAATCCAAATCAGAACACTGAAATATCCAGCCTGCCCTCTGAATTTAGCTAAGTTAGTTAAACTTTATGCATCTGTAAAACCAGAGGGCTGATCTAAAATGGTTTGCAATGTCCTATTCAAGAATATAATTTTTCCACAGGAAAATCCAGAAATAAGCAAAGTCCTCTTAGGAAAGACAGAGCCTCTAAATTCAAAGTACCTCTTTGGATT